GACTCACTCCTTCAGACAGAAAAATTATAAAGTTTTAATATTTTATATTGTATCTAAAACCTCCCTCATGTTTCCTTTTATAAGAACCTGAACAGACTCAGGTGTGTCGCCATGGAGACGGGATTAATTATTAAAGACCTAATCTGAGCGTTGACCTTCTGTCAGATCTGATCTGATCTCCACCGTCTGCAGAACGGATCGGCTGAAGAACCTTTAATGTCAGATTATTAACAAATAAATATCAATAAAATAAGAGAGATTTTCACATCATCTGAAAGGTTTGGTTGATAATCCAACAGATTATTTATCTGCTTGTTTTTGTTTTATGTATTAAAATAAAATAAATAAAACTCTCAGCTTCTATCAGCTGTAAAACGGACTCATTTTTAGCCACTTTAGGGTTTATCAGCTGTGGCGGCCATCTTTTCCCTTTCAGCTGCTGAAACAAGACGTTTTAGTCCAACATGAAGCTTTTTATTAACATTTCACTGTAAACAGAACATTGTGTTGTTGGTAAACAACTGCTGGACAAATAAAAACATTAGAAAACAAAGTGTCCTTTCAAATAAAGCAGCATGCTGTTAAAAATATTACAAGTAAAACTTATTTACAGAACGAGCTCAAACAATTAAACTGATTCAATTATTCTGCAGGAAAAGATTAAAAATCACATTTTTGTTTCGTTTATCAACAAACAGATTTTGTCAAAACAAAATAACTTTTATTTTCTAAGAAATAAACTGAATCTCTTAAAGCTCTTCCTGACAAAACCCTAAAAGTTGTGATTTTATCCAAAGATCAGTAAAAACTACACTTGATATGTTTTTATTTTTCTACTTTAAAAAGATAAAAACTAAAGGCAACAGCAGGCGGGTTAAAGGAAGACTCGGCACCGAGACGCCACAGAACCACAGGGGTCCGAACCTGATGAGCCGAGTCCCAGAACTGGACTCTGGAAGGAACCGATGGAGTCCAGACTTTAGGAGGTTTGACTTCTGTTCTCGCTGACCTGGTTCTTTTACCCTCAAACTGGAACAAGAAGTCCTGGTAAGCCCCGCCCACAAACAAAGACACGCCCACAAAGTTCTGACCAATCACAATAGAGCAAACCCTGAGTGACAGAAGATCAGACCTTAAATAAAACCTGTTTCATGTTCCCAGCATCACCTTGTGTCAGTGGCGACATCAGAGACCAAGTCTACCTTTAAAGACAACTCACTATCTTCATCACCATCATCATCATCATCATCATCGGACCTGGAACACAGTGACACCGAGCTCAGACCAGGGGATTCTGATGTTATCAGTCCATGAAATGGACGTTATTAGGTGTTATCAGTCCCATACAATGGCTTCAGAGGGTCCCTACTGTGCCTTCTAGGCTTCCGACTGTCCCGACAGTGCCCCCTAGTGGTTTAATATATCAATGACAATGAATGTGTAAATAACCAAAAGATATTGTAATAAATTTTTTGTGTCCGTGTCGGTCTAGACCCTGGTCTCCCACTCTCTGGTCCAACTCTCTAACCTTTGCCCTGTTGGAAGGCCACAATATACAACTGTTGGAGGGCGGTGTCTTTAGTCCTAACCATGTCATTTGCTCTAAAGTTAACCTTAGTGGCTTTAAGCCTCATATTAACCATTTTTTATGTCTCATATTAACCAGATAGTGGTTTTATGCCTCGTACTAACCAGCTGACAATCAGAAGCCACTCTATGGGACTGATAACGCCTGATAACGTCCATTTCATGGATGATAACATCCGAAGCGGGTGCCTCAGACCCTGAGCTGAGGTTTATTCTGCTTCTCTCAGTTTTACTGAAATAAAAGAAGAAATCAAAGCAGATAAAACCAGGACCAGAAGGTGGACTGGAGCTCAGTCCGGTGCCACTTTTATCCAGTTCCATAAAAGAGGCAGATTTTCAGAAGGACCCTTTGTTCCTCCAGGACCAAACTAAGACATAAAGTTCCACCATTTTAAGCTAAATGTGTCCATCATGATGTCACAGACGTCTGCTGAAACACAACAATCTGATGTTTGTCAATCTTCTTTTTCAGAGGGTAACGCTGTCAACACCCTGACAGAAACAGATTATTCTTTCAGGCAGAAAACTGTGATTTTTTTTCTCCCCAGTTAGATTAAAACTTTGACAAACTGTCTTTAGATGCAGCTTCTGAGAGCTGAAGAGCTAAAATCATCCAATATTTAACAGATTAAGAGCAGGAAGATTAACAGATTTGGACCAGCTCAGTTGGACCAGTTCGGTTGGATCTGCTGAACCAGGACTCAGACTGGTCAGGATGTCTCTTGGACACGTCCTTAGGTGGAGACCCCAGGTCAGACCCAGAACTCTCTGCAGGGTTTATAAATGCTGTCTGGTCCTCCAGGACCCGACCAACAATAACAGGAAGCAGGTGGATGTTGGTCCAGGTTCTTAAACTGACTTTTAAAACATTTAAAACAGATAAATTACAAAACGTTTTCTAATTTTATTATTTAAAAAGAGGAAATGAAGACATTTGTCCTCAAGAGACCAATCAGAGTCCAGAACAGTTAGAGTTTGGACAAACTGCAGTCAAGTTTTCTGTCCAAATGAAAACAGGAAGTTCTCATAAATAAAATACAGACAGCTGGAGGTCAGAGGTGAGACCAGGAGCTGGACGGAGCCGAGAGGACAGCTGGACGGACAGTGGGACAGATGGACGGAGCCGAGAGGACAGATGGACGGACAGTGGGACAGATGGACGGACAGCTGGACGGTGAGACGTGACAGCAGGATTAAAATCAGGCACATGGAGGACGAGGTTAGAGCTCCGTCAACTGAAGGACTAAAACAGGCTCCATCAGTCCTCTGTCCCCTCATGTCCTCTGGACTAATGTCTCCTGCAGATCATCTGAGTTCCTGCTGACCTCCAACAAACCAGCCGTCCTCAGAGGAATAACCTGATTAATCTTTGATGACTGGGTCCATCATGTGTCCATGTCTCACACGGCGTGAGACACTTCAGGTGAGACGCAGCGTGGCGACCCGAGGACAGTGAGACCGGCGAAACACAAACATCCCAAAAGACACGTAATAAAAACTGGAAGTTCCCAAGTCAAATTAAAAAAGCTGAAAGCTGCAGAAACACGACTTTACCCCAAATCATCAGAAATAAACTTAATAAAGTCCTGATTCTCTACGGAAACATGTCCAAATCTGCTGCAGCAGGTAAAGATCAGCAGGAGGGTCACCTGCTGCAGACAGACTGTACTGGTACTGACCCGGCCCGGTACACAGCTCAGACTCAGCAGGTCATCACCGTCATCATGACAGAACAGGAATAAAAGACGCTTTTTAAAAAGCTCTACAGTCTGAGTCCAAACTGCTCGTCGGGACTGAAAACATCCAGGAAGTAGATGCAGCCCATCTGTCAGAAACCAGACCTGCTGATAAATCGACCCACGACATAAATACGACATAAGACTTTAGGCCTTTTTATCACAAAGATTCATAAATAAAAACAGAACTCAGATGGTCTCAAACACGTCATGTTTGGAATATTTTTGTGACCAAATTGCAAAAAAAACAAAATTTTAAGATTTTACTTGTAATCCCTCTGAATGACACGTTGGAACAAAATTTGCTGAGTTTGCAAACAAGTCAAAAAACTGTAAATCTGGACGCCCTGTTCTGACAGGATCAGTTTTAACTAAGGACTGTTAGGAATAACTGCAGAGATTATCTGTGTTGTTAATCCTGTGTGAATTAGCCATGTCAGTAATTTACATATTACCTACTCTGAGGTCCTGTGATACTAATCCAGTGTGAACAGGCCTCTCTGTGATTTAAACAGGCATGAGCTGAGTCTAATTGCTGGGTTGCAGTCATGTGACCCGGATGACACGTGAATGTCAGATGGGGGCAGGAAGTGATTTGCTCTGGTTCAAAACACAGAGAAATGGATCACAGCGAGTACGCTAATGTCCTGGGGCATTAGCGCTAGCAAGATATCGCAAAAAAATATGCGTACATTTAGGATATTATTCATATTATCTTAATAAAAAGACTTATTATATAATCTGGGGGATTGCCCAGTGTTGAGATGATAAATAAACTCCTATCTGGTGCTGCAGACCTCATGTTATAGGCTACGACGAGCCAGATGAAAGCTTTCAAAAGCCTCAAACCCACAATTATTTAGTTTCAGGTATTCAGGATCCAAAGAAACTTTAAATGTCTGTTGACTTGTTTCTGCCTGGTTGAGCTGTGCTATTTTAAGAAGTTAGCCTATGATAACAATGCTATTGCTAACACTAACAAGTTAACTCCTGTTATTTCCATGGATCTACTTGCAAATAATTTATTTAGTTTCTGTAAACCCAAATTCAAGTAAGTATCCAGGAAAATATCTGACTATGATTTAAACGATACGATCCTGACCTGTTAGAAAGTGTCGCTGCAAACGTTTGTTTCCGCACCTCCTGTTTTTAGCCGTAGATTGTTGATCAACTTTTGTCCTATTTTTTTCTGCAAGATTTTAAAATTTAACTCCCTTGTGACAGATTACTTTCTGAATGATTAGAGCGGCTGCAACAACTATATACGGCACAGAGTTTAGACATTTGGACACTGAATCAACAGACAGAAACATGGCTTCGTTTACTTCCTGCCCCCCATCTGCATTCATGACGTCAATACTACATCATCTGAAACCCAGCAATATTAGATTTTTTTTGTTTTCTGGGTGCATTTTTATTTGATTTCGGTGAAGAATGGAGGCTGGATTGGAGCACACTTAAGGGTCCCGGGCCAATCCAGCCCTACTGTGGGCTGCCGTTTGTAAAGTTACAGTCAAAAATTATCACCAATATTTTTGTTTTATTAAACCTTTTATAAGAAAAAAAGAACAGATTTATTTTTCAAAGTCAGTTTTTCACCATATGATTCATACATTTATAAATGTCATAGTTTATAAACTAAATATTTAACTTACAAATTATATATTTTGTTAACAAGCTAAATATTTAACTTGTGACTTAAATATTTAGTTTTGAGCTAAATATTTAGGTTGCAACTTAAATATTTAGCTAGCAAGTTAAAAATTTAGCTAGCCACCTAAATATTTAACTTAAATATTTAGCTAGCTAGCTAAATATTTATGTTGCAACCTAAATATTTAGCTCAAAACAAAATATTTAAATCACAAGTTAAATATATAGCTTGTTAACAAAATATTTAATTTGTAAGTTAAATATTTAGTTTATAAACTATGACATTTATAAATGTATGAATCATTTGGTGAAAAACTGACTTTGAAAAATAAATCTGTTCCTTTCTTCTTATAAAAGGCTAAATAAAACAAAATATTGGTGGTAATTTTTGACTGTGTAACTTTACAAACGGCACCCCATTCCCCACTGACCTGTAATACACGGCATCAAAAAGAAAAGGCTTTGTAGCCTTCTACCTGATGCTGGCAGCAACACAGAGCCGAAATGTGGCCGTAGCGCAGCTCGTAATGGCTAAAGCTAGGTTTATAGTTGACGCGCCAATAGTGATGGAATCAGACCATCCCTTCCCCAGCATGGTGTCCTGATGGAACGTGGTCGTGCACCTCCGAACTTTTGTAACTCCACAAAAGATGCGTGTGCCGCGCACCATTCAAACAGTTGGTTTATTGGTCAAGCTTTGGCTCTCCAACAAGTTATAAAGAGTACTGCCATGTGCCTTTTGGAGAAAACTACAACAACATAGTGTCAAGTATAAACACCTACACCGCTGGTGAGGGTGTGCGCGCCCTGCATGTGTACCCAAAGTGGGTCTATAACCCATATGTCCATAAATTTTCAACAAAATCTCAGGCTGTGGTTATCCTGTGTGAATGTGCCACATAAAAAACAAACTTCGGGGAGTAATTTATTTCTTACATGTGGTCCCCTGGTAATGCTCACCCCGTGTGAATAGGCGTTAAAACTGAGACGGCCATGATGACTGCAACTGTTGAAAGAAAGTTTTAGATGGAGACGTCAGAGCAGCAGAACGTCTGCAGGTCACTTCTAAACAAAAGGTCAGAATTTAGCTTCATCAAATCCTCAAATTAATTCTGTTCAAAATAATTAACGGACACTCCTTATCTGTGCAAAATCAAGAAAAGCTTCTAAAACCTGACCAGCTTTGTTCTTCCTGCCTGTTACACTTTGTACAATCAACAAACTTCTGATCAATTCAAGTTTTCTTTGTTTTTTACACTCTTGAATTCTTCAGCAAGACATTTTTCTTTTCATCCAACAAGGACGTACAGATACTCTGCCTGTAGCAGTCCAGACTCAGGCTCAGCACTTGGACAGTTCCAGACCTGACAGGATGGTTTCTGACAGGAATAAGGCAGAAAAAGTGTCGTTATACGCCGACGACTCATCGCTCTCCTTCAGCTCTTCTTCCTGTTTGACCAGCTGAGTGTCCACAAAAGAAAAGTGAGTTTTTTTAAATGTCCTCTTATTTCAGTTTAACTTCAAATAAGCTCCTTGGTTTGTTCATCATGGCCTTTCTACCTATCTTTTATTTTCAAGTATATTTTCATCTGTCTGATCTTTTTATATTAAATTTAATCTACTTTTAAATCTAAAGTAGTTCATGTCTACAAGTTGCTTTTTTCAACACAAATCTTTTTTATTTTCTCAGAGAAAATAAAGGTCCCAGAAGTTTTTTTAAAGACGAAAAAGCTACTTTTCTGAGATCCTAGATTTGATGTTTCCATCCACCAGGTTTGAGCATGGACACGTCCCATGAAGTGGACATGGACACGTCCCATGAAGTGGACATGGACACGTCCCATGAAGTGGACATGGACACGTCCCATGAAGTGGACATGGACACGTCCCATAAAGTGGACATGGACACGTCCCATAAAGTGGACATGGACACGTCCCATAAAGTGGACATGGACACGTCCCATAAAGTGGACACAAACACCTTGAATCAAAGTCTAACTCTAATCCCACAGAGCTTTTCACCGTGAGTTGAACTCCTCCTGCACCGGCGCTGTTTGCGAATGCCGGCCGGGTCACAGACGGCGTCCCGGCTCCCCCGGCGTTGAGACGTCTGCGTGTCAGACCCACTCCTGCACCGGGTATTTGTAGTAGTGCTGCGCCATCATGGCGCTATGCTGCGACCCTTTGTTTTTGAACTGAAAGACGGTGTAGACCAGCACCAGGATGCACAGCGACAGGATGCAGGGGATCACCACAGCAATGGCGTTGACCGACGTGGGGACGTTGTTGAAAGTCACCATGATGTCCACGTCGTCCAGGGGCAGCTGGCGGTCTCCACGGGTATCCCCCGGGCGCTCCAGGTCGGACTGGAAGCAGCCCATCCAGTCCCGTAAAACAGACTTTGGATATCCAGGCTCCACCGTCAGCTTCTGGTTGTCAAACTTCCAGTAGTCCCGCCCCTTGTAGAAGTAGGTGTAAACTGGGGGTGAGAGAATCAGAGAATCAGGTTTTATTTCTTTAGTCTCTCTTCTCTACATGTTTATTGTTATTATTTCTATCATGTTTTTTTCTTTGTCTCTTCCAGAAGAAGGTGCACCTGGACCAGTCCTGGACCAGTTCTTCTGTGTTTGTCTGTGTCTCTTTCCTGTCCTCCAAGCAGCCGGTCGAGGCAGATGGTCTCCTGTCCTGAGCCTGGTTCTGCTGGAGGTTTCTTCCTGATTAGCAGGGAGTTTTTCCTCTCCACCGTTTGCTCAGGATGGAGACTGTGATGAAGTGATTCAACACAATCTGCTGCTTTCTTCTTTACATTGTTCTTTTTATCTACAGTGTCCTGAGACAACGGATGCTGTGACTTGGAGCTATATAAATAAACTTGAAACTTGAAACTTATTTCGGCTGGTTGTTGGATCTGTCTCCTCTCTATCCAGCTGTATAATTTAGTTCAGATCATTTAAAGTTTAATCTCATTTTCACATTTTAATTCAGCTCTACAGCGTTTCCAGGATACTGTTTCCTGCAGTTGAAATAAAACGGTTCTGATTTTTCTGCACATCTTCTCCTGAGTTCAGAGCTGTCGGCTCTTCTTCAGCTCGTTTTATCTCAACGCGTCCAAAATGAGCCGCGAGCTTCGTTACGAGTTAACAGTTTGAAGAAGACAAAAAATAAGGTTTTGCTCATAGTTCAATAAAACAAGACATTCAGGGGAACAGAGTCCAGAATCAAAGTTTACAACAAGAATTTCATGTGTTTTTTCATTTCTCTTTTTCAGTCAGCAGCAGCATCTGATCAATATGTGATCCATGATGTCATCATGTAAATGTAACATTTTCTACATATAGGTCAAATTAATCACTGCAATAAAATAACTTTGTGTGTTTTTGTCACTTTTACAGTGGATTGCATCAACTCTGTTACATCCAGAAGGGAAACTTCACCAAAGTGAAACATAAATCTGTGGATCTGTGTTTGATTACTCTGCCTGGCTTTCTCAAGGACCAGGATGTGACACAAAAATCTGAATTATGGAACTGAAAGTGAAAGTAGTCAAACTGAAGTTTTAATAAACCAAAATACAGTTTCAAAGTAAATTAATTCAGATACAAAACTTTAAATTCAGTTTTGATTTAGTAAAATTCATTTTCGGCCAGTGTATCTTTTGGTCATTGGATTTTCATTTTTGAAACAGGTATTAAAAAACAAGAAATGAGTGGATATTTGATTTTTGTTTTAAAATACTGAAATTAAAATAAAAATAAAAAGCCATTATCATTCTTAGTGTCAAAAGGGGATAAACAAAATGTTAAAAATTATTTATTTTCTGTTCCAGATAGAAAAAAAGAAAATTTCTTGAAGACAGAAACGGAAAAAGGCTTGTTTATTTGTATTCTACGACTATCTATTCCCCCACCAGAGGGGGCGCTCACCTGGCAGCTCTGCAAAATTAAACACTAATTTCTGTAAATAAAAGGCTGAAACACAGAGAGGTGTGTCCATAAATGAGTTGTATGATGATTGTTGCTCAGTGACCAAAGGACTTGCAGAGGTAATTCATGTGGTTTTTGGCCAAATAAGTCTCTTTTACTGAATACATGTCAGCTACTGCCTCCATGTTTCATCTCCATTTTTCTCAATAAAAAGCAAAATAAGATAAATTTCATTCTGTTAGTGTGTTGGACAGTTGTTGTTCTGTGAGCACAAAGGTTTTTTTTCCTCCTGAGTTTTGACAAAATCTGTGATTTTTCTGTCAGTTTGCGTCCTCAGAGTGTTCCTTTCAGCGAAGGGTGGGTGGTTGTACGACTTTGATATCGATCTGATTTCAAATAAATACTTGGCAAATATATTTGATACTGAAGTCAGTATCAATGCTTTTCACTTGTAATGGGATGTTTATTGAGTAACTTTGATATTGCAGACAACCCTTCTGGTGGTGAAACAGATTATAGGGATACAGTGAGTTGGTACGACCTGTCATGGATTACGAACAAACAAGACTTTTTTCTTTTCTGACTTAAACTAATTTTCTTTTTTGCTATCTGAAACAGAAAATGAAACTCAAATCATTTAAAAAAATTTTGTTCATCCCTTTTTGACACTAAGAAAGAGAAACGCTTTATATTTTAATTTTCAGTATTTTAAAACAAAAATCAAATATCCAATCGTTTCTTGTTTTTTAATACCTGTTTGGAAAATGAAAATCCAATGATCAAAAGATACACTGACCACTGACTGACCAGATTCAGTTCCTGTTGGCACAAGATTTATTCCATACAAACTCACTAAGTTCATTCCTGCCATGAACTGGGAGGAGGTGCAGATACTCACATCCCTCACTGCTGATGAAGGCTCCCTGAGGAGACTCGGGGATCCCCTTCCAGACCCCGATGGGTTTGGGGTAGCCCTGGTCCGCGGCTCGTTTCTCCTCGTTGTAGCGCCAGTACTGGTTCCCCTTGAAGAAGTACGTTTTCCCCACGCTGTCCCAACGCAGCGCCGCGTCCACGCCGTCTTTAGGGAGGAAGCTGCCCAGCTGGACCAGACTCTGAGGGTACCCCGGCTCAGCCGTGACCTCCTTAAACACCCAGAACTTATCACCTGAAACGGGACAGAGCTCAGGTTTCTGCAGGCAGAAATACAGAGACCTTCAAAATAAAAGAAAAAAACAGAGACCTTCAAAATAAGAGAGATAAAAACAGAGACCTTCAAAATAAGAGATAAAGACAGAGACCTTCAAAGTAAGAGATAAAAACAGAGACCTTCAAAATAAGAGATAAAACCAGAGACCGTCAAAATAAAAGAAAAAAACGGAGACCTTCAAAATAAGAGAAATAAAAACAGAGACCTTCAAAATAAGAGATAAAACCAGAGACCGTCAAAATAAAAGAAAAAAACGGAGACCTTCAAAATAAGAGAAATAAAAACAGAGACCTTCAAAATAAGAGATAAAAACAGAGACCTTCAAAATAAAAGAAATAAAAACAGACACCTTCAAAATAAGAGAAATAAAAACAGAGACCTTCAAAATAAAAGAAATAAAAACAGACACCTTCAAAATAAGAGAAATAAAAACAGAGACCTTCAAAATAAAAGAAATAAAAACAGACACCTTCAAAATAAGAGAAATAAAAACAGAGACCT